TGTGCCCATTCTGCCTCCATGTAAAGTTTTCTAGCTGCCAGTTTCATTAACACCTTGTCACTTCAGCACACCAGGAACACTTGCACAGCAGCCAATGGTATCTCCAGCTCACACCAACTGAAATAGCGATAGAGCACCACAAGGCTTACACCACACTCAGCACACAGAGTAAAGAAATGGGCTGGAGGAGAGCTGCAGCCAGTGCCATAGCCTAGGGAGCTCAGGGAGACAGCGAGGAGTCGTCCCACTGTGCCACCTGCATGGCGAACAGGGAAGGAAAAACTTCTGTGCTTCCTGCTTTCCACTAAAGCACACCACCAGCACGTGGGCACAGTTACCTCCAGGCTGCGACAACAAATGCCACCTCTCACCTTTGTGTAACTGGACTTCTTTGCTAGATAAATAAATTAATTGCTAGAAAAGGCGGCAGCTGGAAGTAAGTCTGGAGATGCTGCTCAGCAATAGAACTCATTCGGAAGAATTTCCTCAAATATTTCCACTTGTAAGAATATTTTTGGAGGGCCAATCCAGAAGTGTTTTTTAAAGAGAGAAACTGAAACAAGCAGAGGTTTTCCTATCACAACGGTGTCAAAATAAGCCAATCAATCAACACTAGCCACTGTTCTGCCTCAGTGTTTTCTGATTGTGAAGTCAGAGCTTACATTTATTACCACTATGTGGGCATGGGAGTTCAGTACCAGGCAGAACAAGTTCAAGCAGCAAATCCATCTAAAAGTTAGCTCAACGAAAGAAACAATAACATAAATTGCATTATGTTGACATGGGAAAGGGTAGAATCCCATAGATCAAATTATGTCTCCATGGAATCATTAACAGCCGCGGGGCTTCTTCACGAGAATTAACAGCAATACTGCATAACTTGGGAAGAAAAAGGGGTTGATCCATATATAATACATAGCTGTCAAACACACTGGCAATGGCTACATGGCAGAGCTGTCAGAGGGACGTGGTGGAGAAGCCTTGAACGCTGTGCTAGAGTTAAACAGAAAACTTACTTCCCATAATCTGCAACCACTCCAGGGAAGTCCACCTCTACAAGACTGTTTATTCCATGCTTGAGAAACTACAAATAATTTACCAAGCGCTCTCTTTTCATGTTTTAAAGATCTGCGGTTCACTGCTCAGCAAAGTAGGAGATGATCTTCTCTGAAGAATACAGATTAGCTCCCTAATCAGGCAAGGTTTTACATTTGTTGGTGCTTGTTGGCGTTTTATTCCTAGTGTGAGAGCCTGATAACCAGGCATGCTGGCAGCAATGGCCACTCCCTGGCTGTGTAATTATGTCAGGTTAAACTATAAATGAAAGAACAAAAATGCTAGCAGAGACAGAAACAGATGCTGTCACGTCTTTATGCATTCCTAGCAAATACAGACAAACCTGTATACAAAGCTCCCTTTAAAAAGGCAAAGCATGCTAACAAAAAACCGTGACCCTAACCAGTGGTTACAGCTCATGCATTTATGCTATTCAAAGATGAGACTGAGCAAGGAACTTCAAGGATGCAGCGATTCTGATGTATTTAACTGGGGCAGTCTCAGACAAATGATTAGAAAATAGAAATGCTGACATCACTGTCAAAGTTGTTTGAGAAGTGAACAATAACTTCTTGCAACTCATTTTTATTTTTAGTCACAGAATTTTAGGGCTTTCAGGAAACCAGCACCAAACTTGATACTGTCTGTAAAAATTAACCTTTGTTTTGGACTGTCACCTGTTGACGTCAACTAGGGAAACGAATCCATTTAACTGCACCTACTGTGATATCTGTGGAACTACTGTCTGTCTTTTCAGGTGCTTTGCAGTGTAAAGCTGTATTTAATGATGTTCATGGTTTACCAAACTTTAACAGTTTTAATTGGCCGTTTGAAGGTGATCACTTGGAGGCTCTACATTTCTGAACAGAAAGTTAGTTCAGGTGGTTATCCTCAAATCCCAGTCAGCACAAAAGATAACAGCAGCCTGGAAAGAATACACTATTTCTAGTAAGCAACCATTGATGCAGCTGTTAGATTGCCAATAACTTCTCCTAGAGCTAAGGGCAATTAATCAAAAGAGAAATTTAAAAAAAATTAGCTAATACACAGAAAGCAAGTACAACTCCCAGACAATCTGGAGCCCAAATATGCATGTACATAACGTGTCTGGTCAGAGAAAAAGCACAACAGAACAGCAGGGAAGACTTCCACAGAACACTGCTGTGATCTGTAATGTCATCTATCGATAATTATCAATATGCCACTATCTTTCAGACTCTTCTCTGTCTGCACCACAGAACACAAACGTAATGAAAGTGAGAGGAGAACTGCTTTGAAACTGAGCTGCAAGACGTCAGTAAGCACGACAGTTTTCTCAGGAACTGTGAAAATCCGCAGGGCAACATGCTGACTGTCTGACAACAGTTTGTGTCCTACGTACATGAAAAAGTGATCAGCAGCTTCCTTGGCTTTACAGTCCTCCGAAATATTAAACTTGTTGGCAAGTACCAATTGCTACCAAAATATACCTCTGCAGATGAGGAATGCCTCACTCGCTCCTATTACCAATTATTAGAAACAAATTATTCCACAGTCATGCAAGCATAGCAAGAATCAGTGCAAACAAGTGGGTGTTCACCTTCCGTGACTGGCAGACGTTTGAGAACACTAGAGAGGGAAAGCTGGAACTGTGACACATATGGACCTTCAGCAGCCTTCAGATTCACTCTAAAGAAAGCATAAAGCACAGTCAAAAACAAACCAACCAACCCAGTTGAACAAGATGCACATGCTATCCCTCTCTTCACACACTGGTATTCACATAGCCTATATCTGAAAAGGAAAACTACTCTATCGTTAATACACCTACATGATGCACTGCTCCCCTCCAAAAGCCCCTTCCCTTCATGATCAGTACAAGCAGACAACAGCTGCATTCTTTAGCCTTCCCACGCCGCACAGCATTCACGCCATGCCAGAGCTCAGGACAAGAGCTTTAAGAAGCAATTAGCCACACTTACGTATTTGGTAATGCACTGCAGCAGGCCGTAACAGAACAGACAGGACGGCAGCCACCTCAGCTGCTACTAGTTCCTGTTTATCAGCTTCTCATACATACAGAAGCCACCCAGAATTACCCAATTAACTACTTTACAATGATCATCCGTCGGACTTGAAATAAAAAGTGTCTGCGTGCAATTGTATGAAGGAGGCGGTTTAGGCAATTTAGAAATCCAACTGTCTGATGCAGTTGAAGAAACAACAGATATTAAATAAGTCCCACTATCTGCAAACCATTTTTCAATCCAGGTAACTTCATTTTAATAGAAAAATATTTCAATTATTTTAAGACCGCTTAATAAGCTACTGACTGGAAAACTTACTGCAGCAATTCAAACAATTTCACCTCACAATGCCTCACCACAACAGACCGTGTGAGCTGACAGCATCTAAGATGTTTTGCCCTACTATCAGCATGCTCTGAGTTCTTCAGAATCCAGAGCAATCTATGTCTTTGGTAAACACAGACATAAACTGTTTCTCGCATTTAGAAGTCCCATAAAACACTCCCTGAATCTTTGAGTGCTGAATAGCAGCACATAGAGCGTGTGTTTTGTGCTGTGGCACACAGAAACTAGTGGCACCTCTGTTACACATTTCTGCAGTTCAGTTGACAGAAAAGAGTAAGCAAAGCAGCAAATACTGCAACCGTACACTAAATTCTTCTTCCTCCTCCAACATTTCCTGCTCAGGGTTATTTGTTCTTCCTGTGTCTGCTAAGCAAGATTCAGCTTCCAAAGCAAGTTTGGGCAGATCAACTGCAGGGAGGGCAGGGCAAGGCCAAACTGAGATCGTTCCTTCTTACTGAGAAAGAATTCTTAAGCAAGCTTGAATAGCTTCCATGCTAACTTACCCCAGATGAAAGCATCTCATCTTCATTAACATTTATAGTAACAACAAGCAAGCCTTCTTTACATAAGCTAACAACCTATCTCCCAATGTTGAGCTAAAAAAAACCAACATTTTTCAGTTCACCATGACTTAGGATTTACCTGCTGAACCCTCACATTATAATGCCCACCACATCAAAACACACAACGTGCAAAATGCATTTCAATTTGCTGCAATTCAACTATCTAATCAAAATTAACACAAAACAAGCACCTCGAGCTGCTGTGCAACCAACACTGAACACAAGCTCTGTGTGCAAGAGCACTTCATTTCTCGAGTCCCTTATTAACAGGGCGTATCAGGAACGCATAGGCTCAGCTGCCTACTAAATTGTCAGCTGCGGTACTACAGCAACGCACAAGAGTCAACAGGGGCACATAACCACCAAAACCTGCTCCAGTAGCTCGTGCTGTTAGAAAGAGTCGCTCGCCCTACATAACGAGCCGCACCAATTAACTTCCAGGCAGAAGAGCAGAACCTGAAGTTGGCGGTTCCGCAGCCCCCCGCGCAGGCTGTTCGTTCTCCTGGGCCCGCCGCACCGCGCAGCCAAACCCACACCTACGGCACCTGCGACGTCCAGAAACCCACCGCAGCGCAGCCGCTCTGAAGCCCTTTTCCTGAAGCCACCAGCGCAGCCGACGCCAATTTGCAGAAGCGTGCTTCTTTCAGATCCCCCCAAGCGCAGCTCCCACTCGAGGCGCAGCCGCACCGCGCGGCTCCACCTCAGCGGCGGGCACAGCTTCAGAGCGCGCTGTCGTGACTTTGCAAGAACGAGAGACGGACACTCGCCTGACCAAAGTCCTCCGGCACGAAGCCTCTCGGCGACAAAAAAAAGGAAGTCACGACACTGCCCAAGTTACAAGTTCTAAACCTCCGTCAGACGGAACCCGTAAACCCGGCGGTGCCGGCGCTCACGCCGCTCCGCAGCCGCGCCGTCCCGCCGCAGAGCACGAAGGGCCGCGAGGCGCTCCCGCCTGGCGACCGCCGGCGCTAACATGGCAGCGGGCAGCGGGCGGAGCGCGGCCCGCTCAGCTCCCGCGGCGCGGACTGCGAGCGCGGCCCCCGCCCGGTGCTGGGCGCCTCCCCCCGCCCGGGGAACGCGGACGAGATCGGCACCTCGGCGCGTCGGCCTGCTCCTCGCAGCGCTTCACGCTCGGCTCCCTGAAAAAGCAGAGAGGGGTCGGTCGGGCCCGCTCCGCTCTCCTTTCCTTCCCCTTCCTTCCTTCCCTCCCTCCCCTCCCTTTCCCTCCCTTCCCTTCCCCCGCGCCGCCGGTGGGGATCCGAGCGGCGGTCCCAGCCGCGCGGGCTGCGAGCCCTCTCCCCTACCCGGCCCCGGCTCCGTCGCCGCCGCCCGGCTCCGCTGCGGCCCCGAGCCAGGCGCGGCGCGGCACTGCGCAGGCGGCGGGCGGCGACGCCGCGCTCCTGGGACATGTAGTCCCGCGGCCATGCGGTCCCGCGGGCGCCGAGCCCCGGCCCCCGTTCTTTCTTCAGCCCCCACCGAGGTCGCGTGACGGCGCAGCATCTCTGCTGTGGGGCTGCTGCTGGGTGGCGCGAGGAAAAATCGGGCTCGGAGAGGTCGCTTCGCGCTGCGTGGCTCTGATGGGCACCGTTCCCTGGGTTGCGTCCGGACGGACGCCGCCCTTCTCCCGCGGCTGCTTTACAAGGGAGGGCCGTAGGGCCCGGCCGGCCCTGCGGATCGAAACGCACGGTGACGAGCAGTGGAGTATGCAACGTGTAACAGCGCTGCGTGGGGCAATCTGCCTCACATAATAGCACTGCTTAATCATAACCTGCATCACATGCGACTACACAATCACAGCTTGTGCTTTGGTTGATGGTCACAGATTGATTTTAACTTTGCCCTCCTTTCTCAGCTGTCCCAAGATCTTCAGAAAGTACAGAGCTCACTGGCTGCCCGCGGGATGGGGCCTTACACAGCTTTGCCGTGGGAAGCAGGAGGCTGAGATCAGACAGCTGAACGTACATGTACGGCCCAGACCCACCTGTGCTCCTCATAACACATGTAGCTCAATTAGAAATACTAGGGAAATCTATGTCTTAGGACATAACTTAGTACACACAAAAAAAATTCTTCCAACAGAGGTATTAAGAAGCTTGTTCTCTTAAAGAGAAAAAGGGCTGCACCATTTGTAGCCCAGCTCTCACCTGAGCACCTTGTTACACTGTGGAATGGTAGCAGTAAGCCAAAACCCAGCATGAGGGCATGGCATCCAGGCTGCAGCAGGGGCAGGGGTGACTCGGGTGGGAAAGTAACACTCCTCAGTCACCATTATTGCTTTTTCACACCTAAGCCATCTGCAGAGCTCTTCTCTGCGTCAGCTCATCACAGCAGCCACACATCGGTGCTTTGTGTTTCTCAATCTCCAAACTATTATGTGTGTCTTTTTCGTAGCTGACACAGTTACAGCCTCAAATCCTCTCCTCTGATAAAACAGTGCTTACATAATTGAATTTTAAATATCCAAACGACTTTTTAAAAACAACCATGGCACACAGAAATGCAAGAACAAAAAAAGTTCCTTGAGCCCAAACACACAAACCAGCAAAGCATTATGTCTGTACGACACAGCCAGCTGGCACACCGTGCTCCTGCCTGTAGCGCAGAACACCAGCTGCATTACAGCATCGCTGCCCTTAAGAGAACTGAGGGGAATGAGCCTGAGGCCTGCAAGCATCAAGATATCTCCTTATCTGCACATGGCTTCCTGTGAAGAGATAAAATACGTTAGGCACAGTTCTTGGGATACGCAGTTGTAGTGAAGACAGTTCTTTAATAAGGCTAAGCTCAGTAATTTGCATCAGGATTCTTGAAGATGTGAATTCAGTGCAGAAATAATTGAGTAAAAGAAATAAATCTACAATGATATATAGAAGACTCTGAAATACACCTCCTAATAGGAAGAACAGCACCCAGATGAGAGCTTCACAAAAGGCGCACTGTGAGCAGTGGGATCACAGCACTGCCCTCAGCGCTGCCCAGCTGCGAGGCTCTCAGCATGGGGCAGCACCACGGCTGCATTCTTACAGCGTGGCTCAGGGCTGTCTTTGGAGCCACACTTTTATACAGCCCAGAGTTATTTCAGTTACGATTCAGCCCTGCTATCACCCAACGGTTCACGAATCTCATTTTCTCATGTCACGACTGACCCAGGGCCCTCAATTCCTTACACCAGCGCTCAGACACGACCCCAGGCCCGCTGCGTGAAGGTGCGGCCCTGCTGGCAGTGGGACAGCGCGGCCCGGCGCTGATGTAACCCGGCGTAACGCCGGGGCGAGGCGCGGCCTGTCGGTGTCCGGGTGCCAGCAGCAGGCGCGAGCGGGCGCTGCCGGCACGGACGGACCCGAGCCGAACTCTGCGGAGCTACGGAGAGCCCGCACGCACCTGGGGCCCTGCAGCGAGGAGGCAGACCGCAAGGCGCGGCCCTCCTTCCGCCCATGTCTCCGGTCTCCGGCCTCCGTCGCGCTTGGCCGAGACGGCTCGCCGTCGCCAGACTCCCCCCCCCCCCCAGCACCGGGGTCGGTTACCATGGAAACTTCCAGAACGTCCCCCCCCACCCCCGTTCCCTACCCTGGCCTCGCCGCCACGGCCGCCCCCAACCAATGGGCTTCTTCCGCTTGGCTCACGCTTCTCTGTTGATTGGCCCGCGATGCCGGCGGGGTGAACCAATCGGGTGGCAGGAGGGGTGCGCGCCAGGCATGTCAGAGCGACCGCCCGCTCCTCACCAATCAAGGAAGGCCAGCTTAGTAGCAGTCGGCCAATGAGCGCTCTCCAGCGAGGGCTCTGCGGCCAATGGCGAGCCTCCACGAAGGAGTAACGAAGGATATATAAGGGCGCGCGGCGCGGCCTGGGTGTTCAGCGGCAGTTGGAGACGCGGCGGTTCGTGTGTGACGGTAGGGGCGGTGGCGGGGCCTTCTGCGGCCTGCCGGGGCCTGGTGGGTGGGGTGGTGGGGGAGGGGTGGCTGCGAAACAGAACTGAACCCCGTGGGTGGGGGGGAGCAGTGAGGCCGGATTGGGTCGCGCCGCTCATGTGGCGCCTCCATTTTGTGACTGGCGTTCCTTGGCAGGGCGGCGAACGGGCGGCATGAGGCACCTCCTGTTGGCGCTGCTGCTGCTGGGCGGCGCGCGGGCGGACGACGAAGAGAAAAAGGAGGACGTGGGCACGGTGGTGGGCATCGACCTCGGCACGACCTATTCTTGGTGCGTAAGGAACCGTCTGTTGTGGGGACGGGCATCACGGACATGAGGATCGGGGTGGGGGGGGCTGGGGTGAGTGGCTGGGTGGGGGGAAGAGGGCGGGTGGAAGGGAGGGAGGGAGGGAGAGAGGAAGAGATGAAGGAGCTGTGGGCTCCGAGGAGGGGACTGGCAAGAGCAGGGTGGGGGAACTGTACTCCTGTGCCGTCTGACTGCTCCATTTCTCCTTCAGCGTGGGTGTCTTCAAGAATGGCCGCGTGGAAATCATCGCCAATGACCAGGGGAATCGCATCACTCCATCCTACGTGGCATTCACGCCTGAGGGGGAGCGCCTGATAGGGGATGCGGCCAAGAACCAGCTGACATCCAACCCTGAGAACACTGTGTTTGATGCCAAGCGGCTCATAGGCCGCACCTGGAATGACCCCTCGGTGCAGCAGGACATCAAGTATCTGCCCTTCAAGGTGTGCCTCATGAATAGGGGTGGGGGGGTGGTGGCAGGGTTCTAGCTTTTGTGGTCAGGGGTGGGCTGCAGGAGCTGTGCACCTCTCTTGACTTGGGGGGGAGGGGAGGGGTATGGTAGGTAAATAACAGTGCCGTTCTGAGCAGTCTGTGGTTTTATAGCCTTCTTAAGAAGGGCTGTTGATGTCTAGAGTACAGACTCTATGCTTAAGAACACCTGGAATATACCAGTCTGTTTCTCATTTCAGGTTGTTGAAAAGAAAGCTAAGCCGCATATTCAGGTTGATGTCGGTGGTGGACAAACAAAAACATTTGCTCCAGAAGAAATTTCTGCTATGGTCCTGACAAAGATGAAAGAAACTGCAGAGGCTTATCTGGGGAAGAAAGTAAGTTTGAATATTTATAACAGCAACTTAAAACAGTCTTAAAAAAGCTAAGGGTAACCTTGCGGTCCCAGACTTTGTTCAGTGCTGTTGGCTTCTTAGGCAGCCCAGTTGGTTGGGCTCAGCTAAAATGATTTCTTGCTATCAGAAGTGATAAGATTATTTCGAAGGTACATAGCTTTCCTTAATCTAATTGTTTTATTTTCTGCAGGTTACTCATGCTGTTGTTACTGTGCCAGCCTACTTCAATGATGCTCAGCGTCAGGCTACAAAAGATGCTGGTACAATTGCTGGGTTGAACGTGATGCGCATTATTAATGAGCCGTAAGTAGCCTAAACTACTTTGCCTGCTGGTTATTTGGGAATGGGGTTTGGTAATCAAAAGTTTCCTGATCTGGTTACTTCTATACAGAACAGCTGCTGCCATTGCATATGGATTGGACAAGAGAGAGGGTGAGAAGAACATCCTTGTATTTGACCTGGGTGGTGGAACTTTTGATGTCTCCCTCCTGACAATTGACAATGGAGTCTTTGAAGTTGTGGCTACCAATGGTGACACACACCTGGGTGGAGAAGACTTTGACCAACGTGTTATGGAACACTTTATCAAGCTCTACAAGAAGAAAACTGGAAAAGATGTCAGGAAGGATAACAGAGCTGTACAGAAACTAAGACGGGAAGTAGAGAAAGCAAAGCGAGCCCTGTCATCCCAGCACCAAGCTAGAATTGAAATAGAATCCTTTTTTGAAGGAGAGGATTTCTCCGAGACTCTTACTCGTGCCAAATTTGAAGAACTGAATATGGTAAGGTTACAAAGCTAAAGCTACATTCCCTGAGCTCCAAATTAGTGACTTGCTAAGGGCGGTGTGCTGTTTCACCTAACTTAGTTACATTTAAACAGGGTAAAAATAACTTGCTACTTGAATAAAAAAGCAAGGAGTTACTTCCCAGGGTGTTTGGGACTCAGCATGTTACTGACAGCTAAGGTCTTAGGAAGGCTGACGATGAGCCTCTTGATGATCACTCTAATTCTTAGTACCCTAAGGGTGCTTCGTTTTGAAAATGGGCGTGGGAATGCGATCTTACTGTTGTAACTTTCTTCTTTCTAGGATCTGTTCCGTTCTACAATGAAGCCTGTTCAGAAAGTTCTGGAAGACTCTGACCTAAAGAAGTCTGATATTGATGAGATTGTTCTTGTTGGTGGTTCTACTCGCATCCCCAAAATACAGCAACTTGTTAAAGAGTTCTTCAATGGGAAGGAGCCTTCTCGTGGCATTAATCCGGATGAGGCTGTAGCCTATGGTGCAGCTGTTCAGGCTGGTGTTCTCTCTGGGGACCAAGACACGGGTAATGACAACAAATAGTATTGTTGGCAAGTGATAGAATTGAGTTTTCACAATCATAAGAAGCTTAATGTCTCTAACTCAGACTGCTGTTGCCAGTGATAGGCTGTTATGCTTCTGCAAAGAGGAACTGAAGTCAGTCATGCTCTGATGCACAATCTTTTTTACAGGTGATCTGGTGTTGCTTGATGTGTGTCCTCTGACACTTGGCATTGAGACAGTTGGAGGTGTAATGACTAAATTGATCCCAAGAAATACTGTTGTTCCTACAAAGAAGTCTCAGATCTTCTCCACAGCTTCTGACAACCAGCCAACTGTGACAATTAAGGTCTATGAAGGTAAGTGCCCTAGAGCTGAACTTTCTCATTCAGATTTATGCTTGTCTTGTCAGAAGGCTGTGTGGTGCTGTCAAGAAGCTTATGCACATCTCCATACAGAGAAGCTTGATAACAGTGTTAGCTCAGACTGTTCACCAACTGAGACAGCTCTGATCAGGCAGCTTGAACTCAAAAGCTATTCCTGTGGTTCTTTTCAAATAGTTTTTCAGTAGTTGTGATTGAAAGGGCTTCTCTTCAGAGTAAGGTACTGTAGGCATCTAAGACAGACATCAGGTTGGAATTAAAACCTCAGCTTTGGAAAGCATGCACCTCGAGTCAGGTGTTGCACAAAATGCAAACAAAGGTTAGTACATGAAACTGTATCAACCTGTTGTTTTAGGTGAGCGTCCCCTCACCAAGGACAACCATCTCCTGGGAACTTTTGATCTGACTGGAATCCCTCCTGCTCCTCGTGGCGTCCCACAGATTGAAGTTACCTTTGAAATAGATGTGAATGGAATCCTTCGTGTCACGGCTGAAGACAAGGGCACTGGGAACAAAAACAAGATCACAATTACAAATGATCAGAATCGGCTTACACCAGAGGAGATTGAGAGGATGGTTAATGATGCTGAGAAGTTTGCTGAGGAAGACAAAAAGCTTAAAGAACGCATTGATGCCCGGAATGAGCTGGAGAGCTATGCGTATTCTTTGAAGAATCAGATTGGGGACAAAGAGAAGCTGGGTGGCAAGCTGTCCTCTGAAGACAAAGAAACGATAGAAAAGGCAGTGGAGGAAAAGATAGAGTGGCTTGAAAGCCATCAGGATGCAGACATTGAAGACTTCAAATCAAAGAAGAAGGAGCTAGAAGAAATTGTTCAGCCAATTGTTAGCAAGCTGTATGGAAGTGCAGGCCCCCCTCCCACTGGTGAAGAAGAAGCAGCAGAGAAGGATGAGTTGTAGATACTGGCATCTCTGAATGTTGTGTGTGTATATATTGGACTCAGGAACACTTGTTAAAATATTGAACTCTTAATTTGGAATGTAACTTTGAATCTTCACCTGTGAGTGGAGCTGGAAATGCTGGCCCAAAGTGGCTGTTTACTGCGTTTCGTTAGCAGTTGCTTGATGTCTGGGGAGGGAAGGGTAGCAGGGGTGGGAATGTAAATGAGAAATGGGTTTAGAAATATTGGCCATGGAAGCATTCTATTTAACAGCTTGGTCATGTGAATTTGGTGTAGAACTTTTCTACCTGAAGTGACCACAATAAATTTGTTATTTACACTGGATTTTGTTGTAGCTTATAATTTGTATTGACTGAGTTCAGGTTAGCTGTCCTAAAGGCTTAATACAAAGAAGGCTGCAAAAGCTTTCAAGCTCAACTATGCTGATCCTGCTTGGTGCTAAAAGATGGTTCCAGTCCTCTCCTTTTTTGTCTTTTTTTTTTTTTTTTTTTAAACATCAAACAGGCTGTAGCAAACAGCTCCAGAAGCATGGACTTGGTGCCACTATTGGAATGAGAACTACTTACAAGCACTGCATTGTTTCTGCAGTGTAGCGTTGTGCTTCCAGCTAATTACACCATACATTTGTTACAAAGCAAAAAGCTGAGGGGTTAACCTGAGCACCCAAGGGTTACAAGCGCTTGTAACAGTAACCTAGAGGAGAGAAAGGTACCTTGTTAAACCTGAACTGGTAAAGCTGGTACAGAAGCAAAGGGGACAAAGTGCATCTATCAATTGACTTTTCTGAAGGGGAAAAAAAAAAAACAGCCTGCACCAAAAACTGGAAACGGCCACCTCAAGGTCAATCTTTACACATGAGAACAGTGGTTCCCAAATGCAGTAACACAAGTAGCAAGTCCAGCTCTCCCTACTTTGAAAGGTGGCTTTTCTGATGCAGGAGAGTCAGGGGTTTCTCATTCACTTATTTTCAAAATAGTATAAGACAAATGCCCTTAATTATCTCCCAAATCTTTGCAGATAACCTCAGTTTTGCAAGTAGAAGTAGCTTTATAGTCAACTAGGAGCATGTGAGCTTCAGGGAGAAAGCTGCCCAAAACCTCTGCAACCCCCAGCTTTTCACCTTCCAGCAACACACAAGCCAAGAAGCTGCTGAAACCACAGCAGCTGCAGCCTTCCAAAGGGGCTGACGTACCTACTTGTAAGCATGACTGCACACAGAAAGCAGGACTGCCACCCTTATGAGGGCAAGAATTTGTTTATTGGAAATAGTGAACTTAATCAGACACTGCTACAGAAAACTTGTAAGGAAAGGGATGGTGCTGTGAAGGGCTGCAGCTGGACTATTCAATCAAACTTACAATGCAGTCCCTATATATCTCTGCTTGTGTATCCATCCCACCAAATATTAACAGCAGATGCATCACTGTGTCTTCAGTACGTGTCTTCTCATCCTGGCCTCTGCAGAGGTGGTCAGCTCTGTCACCAGCTGATGCAGCTGGCTCAGCTTTACCTTCCCTACTGACAGCTCCTGGGTCAGCGCTGTTGCCAGCCTGCCAAGGAATGACACACATGGCGTGGTCCAGTCTCCCAGCAGGCAGAGGAGAATCAAACTGCAGGAGTGTCCACTGCTGCTCCTCTGCAGTACAAAAATACATTCACATCTTAAAACATCACTTAACAGACTCAAAAGCCATGCTGGAACAGTCCTACTGCTGATTATACATTAGTCTGTAGTACCACCTAGCCTTAACTATTAGGTCTTGAACTGGTATATTTCCAGTGCAGTGACACTGATTGCTAAGAGAATGAAGCCTAGGAACTAAAACCACAATGTATTTTCAAACAGACTGGCGTTTACCATTACAAAGCTGAGAGAAGTCTCCCTACCTATATGATACTTGTATGTAGTATCTAGCGTCCCATCTGGACCTATTCCACCAAAAATGTATAAGTGGTCTTTAAACACAGCCGACGAGTGGGAGGCCCGTCCTCCTGGCACATCACCAGTGGCTGCTATCTTAACCCACTTCATGTCTGCTGTTGGACAAAAAGAACAGAGTTATTGGTTATGCATTATTAAACAAAACAAAAAGAAACAAACAAACAAAACAAAGTAAAACACATCATAGCACAGCTATTGTTCTAAGATACTTATGGCCCTTCTTACTTGTATCAATGCAGAACAGATCATTGTAAAAAATATCACCAGCTAAACCTCCATGTATGAAAAGCTTGGTCCCAGCTGCAACAACAACATGTCCATGCCGAGGAGAAGGGGGATCGCCGTGGGTTTCAGGCTGAGTCCATGTCAAAGCAACTGAAAAATGAGAATGTGTGTGTATGAGGAGGAAAACTGATAGCTCTACAAACCAGTAGCCCCTGAGTCTTGCTGGGGCTCCCTTCTGGTGCATGCAGGGCCATAGGAACGAACAGAACAATACCAACAGTTCACGAGAAGTCCCACAGCATTCCCCATCTCAAATCTTTACACTGCCACTTCTGCCCAAATTTCCCATCACAGTACAGAGGTGAGCACGCATCAGCAGCAACCTTCACCCCTCCCTTTAAACTTGCAGCCAAGGCTGACAAAATCTGGGAGGCAGATCTCCAATGCAGTGGGCAGTTCTTTCCACTACTGGCACAGCCTGGAACACACAGAGGTACCTGTGTCAAAGACGTGAAGCTGCTGGTCTTTAACCGGCTCTGCTCCTTTGTCTCCCCCTCCGAAGACATACAGACGGTCCCCTACAGCTGCCGAGGAGGTGTGGAACGTCCTGGGCAGCGGCGGCACACCCCTCACCTCGGGACTCTCCCAGGTTCCTATTTCTAATTAAGAAAGCAAACACGGCGGACACGCATGAGTTCCGCGGGGCCGCTCCGTGCCACGGCCAGGACCCACATCCGCTTCGCCGACGTCCGCACTCACCGAGGTCCAGCACTTGGACGCAGCTCCGGTTCCCGGCCCGGTGCGCGCCGCCGAACACCCAGAGGCGCGGGGGACAGCAGGCGGACAGGAACGTGGCGTGCTCGTAGCGCGGCCGCAGTCCGGTCCAGGCAGCCGGGGCCCAGAGATGCGCGCCTGCGGGCCGGGCGCGGCGCGGTTAGGGAGGACGGCGGCGGCCCCGCGCCCCGCCCGGCCCGGCCCTCACCCAGCTCCACGAAGTGGGCGTCCGCGAAAGCGCCCGAGGGGTCGGCGCCGCCCAGGAGGAGCACACGGCCCGGCCCGCCCGGCACGAAGAGGCAGCCGTGGCCCACGCGCCCGCGGGGCCATTCACCGCGCGGTGCCAGCCGGTACCTGCGGGGAGCGACGGGCGGTGCTCAGCCGCGCCGAGAGGCAGCCGGGACCGCGCCGCCCCCCTCCCGCGGCACCCCCCGCGCTCACCACTTGCCCGCCTGCGGTCGGCAGCCCGGCTCCAGCAGCGGCAGCACCCGCGGCCCCATGGCGGGACCTGGCCGAGCCGCTCTGAGCTCGGCCCTTAGCGCGGGCCGGCCCCGCTCGGCTCCAGCCGCCACCTTCCGGTGCGCGGCCGGAAGTGCAGGGAACTTCCGCTGGCGTCCGAGGCCCGCGCCGCTTCCCGGAAGTGGAGGGCTTCGCTTCCGGCTCCTAGCTGCCGTCCCAAGATGGCGCCGCTGGACCTGGATAAGTACGTGGAGATCGCACGGCTCTGCAAGTACCTGCCCGAGAATGACCTCAAGGTGGGCGCGGGCGGGGTGGGGCAGGGTCGGACTGGCGGCGGCGGACGGTGCCGGTAGCGGTACTCTCCCGGTGCTGCTGGCGGCGGCGGTGCTACCCACTGTGCTCCCGCAGCGCCTGTGCGACTACGTGTGCGACCTACTGCTGGAGGAGTCCAACGTGCAGCCCGTCTCCACGCCCGTCACCGTCTGCGGGGACATCCACGGGCAGGTAACGGCGCGGCGCCGGGACACGCCTCAGTGCTCGGTGCCGCCGCCCGCGCTGACGTGTGCCCCATTCCGCAGTTCTACGACCTGTGCGAGCTGTTCCGGACCGGCGGGCAGGTGCCTGACACCAACTACATCTTCATGGTACGTGCCGGTGGCGCCTCACCCTCGCAGCTCGCGTCGGGCCCGGACCTGTGCTGGGTGCCGGCCCCGGCGGCAGCACCGTGCCTTCCCAGCCCTGGCTGCTGCCCGCGGGGGGAGCTGAGGCGGGCGTCCCGTGCGGCGGCTGTGCGGTCGGGGAGCAGAGAGCGCGTCCTCCCTGGTGGGCTGCAGGCCTCCTTCGACATCAGGTTTCTTCGTGCACCGAGGAGTTAAAGCGACTGTCGCTTTGCATTTTTCAGCTTTGGTGTTTCTTTATTTATAATTTTGTTTTGACTTTGCAGGGTGACTTTGTAGATAGAGGTTACTATAGTCTTGAGACTTTCACTTATCTTCTCGCACTAAAAGCTAAATGGCCCGATCGTATCACGCTGTTACGAGGCAATCACGAAAGCAGGCAGATAACGCAAGTGTATGGATTTTATGGTAAGACTTTACCCAAGTGATTTCTGAATGGGGGGCAGCATGCCATAAACAACTATCTCGTATTTCCCTTTTAAAATCTGCTTTGTGTGCAGTGCTATGTGGGGCTTTCCTAGAACTGGGTGGGAAATGGTCTCAAATGTTAACACTGTTGTGCTCAAGAAGTAAAGGTGTTTTATTCCATCTCTCACCCATCTTTTCCTCCAGCATCTCAGTTTTTCTTTGCGTTTTTTTGATGATATGCTTTGGTGTCTTTTAATGAAAGATTCTACATAATTCTCTTTGGGTATAACTGAAAATCATTGTGACATACAGGCTTCAGCCTGCTTTCTTCTGGATAACGTGCCATAGTGTGTCAACAAGAGCATATATAAACATTTATAAGCCTCATGAGGCTCCAAAGAAATACTTGTCCATCAGTTTTATTGATATATTTGTATAGCTGTAAACGAACCTACCGTAGCACTTATTTGTAGTGAAGAGGACTTTAATTAGCCCTAATGGGTTCCCTGTTTCTGCCTCACATCTCTTGCATGAAGCACGATCATATAATCAGTATAAACACTGCTGGGTGAGCTGAGGGGCCGCTCCCAGGCAGTCGGTGGGAAACTGCTAAGGTGCTGTCAGTTGTGTTGCTTTTTTCTCCGTTGCTGAAGTAAGAAAAACCAGTAGGTACTGAGGTCTTCTCCCTGCTGGTGGACCACAGAAACAGTGAAGAGTGCTTTCCACCCAGCGCTTACTGGTTGCTCCCAGCTGTTATTTGTTTGTTTCCTTTTTGTTTTACATCTGCCTTTTCAAGTTCTGTTCTGTTTGACTCTGATCATATTGTCTGAATTTCTTCTGGTCTGCTAAGAAGAAAAACATTCTCTATTTAACAGATGAGTGCCAAACCAAATACGGGAATGCTAATGCTTGGAGATACTGCACCAAAGTCTTTGACATGCTCACAATAGCAGCTGTAAGTGTGAACACCTCACTAAAAAGATGCGAGTAGATTGTCTAAATATAACGTATAGAATTGGTGGCCTCTAAGGTCCTGCTAGAGAGGTTCTGGGTTGGGCTGAAATACCCAGTGTTTTGTGTTTTCTCTCCAGTTAATAGATGAGCAGATTCTCTGTGTGCACGGAGGGCTGTCTCCAGACATCAAGACACTCGATCAGATTCGAACCATTGAACGGAATCAAGAAATTCCTCATAAAGGCGCCTTCTGTGACCTGGTTTGGTCTGATCCAGAAGATGTGGATACGTGGGCCATCAGCCCGCGAGGAGCGGGTTGGCTGTTTGGTGCCAAGGTGACCAATGAGGTAATGATGTGATTCTGTGCCGTGTTCCGTAATTGCAGGTGTGAGACAAAGCTTTACTGTAGTGATGGGTGGATTGAGGAACTTTCCTTGTGAGGGAGCTGGGAGTTGGTGTGGAGGTGAACACTTATTGTTGTCCCTTCAAAAAGTGCCAAGTGAGATAATACACAGATCTTGATTTTAAAAAGTATAACTAGAAATACTAAGCTTTGCGTAGAATACTTTTCTAATGATTTGGAAGAAGAACTACTATTTTTGTTAACAATCTTTGACTTAATTTTTGTTACTTTGCAACATAGTAAGCAGGCTTCTTGAGGCTAAGAGCCATTGAACTTCCCAGGCTTCTGAACCAGCCCTAAGATGAATTCCTGAGTCATGCTGTGCGTTGTTCTCTGTGGTCCTCTGCAGCATATTCAGGAAGGACTGAAAGGTGTGGGCAGCACAGGCCCAGGCACCACGGCTGTTTCTCACTGTTCAGGTTTCAAAACCCAAAGCTGCCTTTTCTGTGCTCTGAGAGGAGAGGTTTGCTCCCAGCACCGTCCGCTCAGTCCCAGCTCTGGGGGTGCTGCTGGGGGCGCTGGGCACAGGGGGATCCTTGCATGTGGCTGGGGGCAGCAGCGCTGCGCTGGGAGCACAGGGAGCGTCCTTAGCACAGCCTGCACCTCAGTGCTGTCGGTGCTGCAGCCCACAGATGAGCCCAGCAGAGCTGCAGGAGGGCTGCACGGCAGGAGCTGCTGCTGGGCCCTCGCAGAGTTCTGACGCACCTTTTTTCTTTGCAGTTTGTCCACATCAACAACCTGAAACTCATCTGCAGAGCACATCAGCTGGTTCACGAAGGCTATAAGTTCATGTTTGATGAGAAATTGGTCACGGTGTGGTCTGCTCCCAATTACTGCTATCGCTGCGGAAACATTGCTTCAATCATGGTCTTTAAAGATGTAAATACAAGAGAACCAAAGCTATTCCGCGCAGTCCCAGACTCAGAACGAGTGATCCCTCCCAGGACAACCACCCCCTACTTCCTCTGAGCCGCCCCCGCCTGCTGCCCCCGCCCCTCCTTCTGCCCCTTGACAATATACTTTTTATTGAGCACTTTGCTGCTGAAATGCTGCCTCTTGCCTTTTTTATTTTTAAATTATCTAAATTTATTGTGCATTACGGTGTCTGTAGCGATTTCCTTTTTTCCCCTCCTCCCCTGGATTGATTTGGGCGGAGCTGCACCGCGCCTGCGGCATTCCGAGCGCCGCACGCCGGGCCGAGACGAAGCGTTTCCGTTCGACGGCAGCGGCGCCCGGGGCCGCGCTCATCCCTGAGCTTTTTTGTTTCCGGTAGATTTCAAGAGGTTTCAGCAGCAAAGTTCCCGCAGCCGGGGCCGTCGGGCCGCATCGCCGCGCGCCGCCCGGAGCTCCGCCGCCCCTCCCTTCGTACATTAAAGGAATCGTTCTGATTTTTCAGTCGCGCGTCCTCTCCGTGCGGCGGGCGGCGCTGTGCGGGCCGGGCCGGCGGGGGGCGCCCTCCGCTCCCTACTTCTCGCCCCGGGCGGGACGGGGCGGGCTCTGCGCTTCCGGTTCCGGCCGGGCGGAGCGGCGGAGGCGGTTCCGGTTCCGACGGCATGGCGCGGAGCACGCTCTCGTCCCGCTTCCGCCGCCTCGACATCGATCAGTACGACGAGAACCGGTTCGTGGAGGAGCCCGAAGAGGCGGCGGCGGCCGAGCCCGACGCGAGCCCCGAGGTGGAGGCGCTGCTGAGGCAGTATCCTTCGGGCGGGTCCGGCCCGGCCCGCGCTGCCGTCGGGAGTCCCGGGAACGTTACCGGGGCGGGGGCGCGGCCTGCGGCTGCCCGGTGCCGCCCTCCGTACCGCCGCGGCCCCGTCCCGCGCCGCTACCGCCCGGCGGCCGCAGTTTCGGCTGCCGCTTCCCCCCGGCCCGGCGGCCTCCTTCCCTCCCCCCTCTCCGGGTCGCGCCGTGTCCGGGGCTCCCGGTGCCGCCGTTACTCCTTGACTCGCGCCGTAGAGGCGAAGCGCTGCGCGCGCTGCACGCGGCCCTGCGGAGCGCCCCCGCCCAGACGCGCAGCGCGGCCCTGAAGGTGAGTGCGGCCCGGGATCCGCGCCGGTAATGGGCGGCGTCCCGAGGTGCGGGGAAACGCGCCGGCAGCAACCGATGGCTGAGAGAGGAAGTCCTGAAGTACCACCGAGGGGGTCTCGTAGTGTGCGGCAGAAGCACGTTGGTCTCAGACTGTAGATTTGTTGCAGGCAATTCTGCAGTGCGCTCCGGGTGGCTCTCCCGAGGTAGGAGTACCAATAAGTCCGGTTTTAAAGAGCTCTTCCCTTCTGTCTTCTCGCTACGGAAACTTAAGGTGCAAAATGTTCTCCTGTTTGGCTGCAGCATCTTCACCACCGGCAGCGCAGCCGCTGCTCCGGGCGCTTTGCTGCACGCGGCTCTCGAGGTCGAGTCCGGCTTCGCTGATCCTAACGGCGTTTTCCTTTCTGTGCAGGAGCAGGCGCAGGGAACCATGCTGAAAGTCCTCACGTCTTTTAAAAGCAGTGAAATCGAACAAGCGGTGAACTCCTTAGACAGAAATGGTATTGACTTGTTAATGAAGTATATTTATAAAGGATTTGAAAAGCCGACAGAAAATAGCAGTGCAATATTACTCCAGTGGCATGAAAAGGTGAGTGCTTGCTCTGGGCTCTCCAGTTGCCATCAGTGCTTTCAGGAGAACCCCCCCGAAAGAGAGCTGTGCGATGAGGGTGATCCTCCCCTGAGGAGCAGTGCTTGGTGCTGCCTTTTGTCTTTGGTCTCTTAAGGTTGGGCTGCCAAAGCTTCTGCCAAGCTTCTGCCAAATTCTGAGCTTCAGAGCTTTCCTCAGCCAGGAGGGGTGGGGAGTGGCAGAGCAATGTCTGCTGCAGGAAGCATTGTGCGTTCTGTCTGCTGGTGGTTTCCCCCAACAAGGAGCAAGAACTGGAAGTGGAGGTGTAATTGTTTGAAAGGTGCCCTTGGGCTCATGGGATGCCCAGGACGGCTCAGGCGTGACATTTTTTCATCAGTGAAGTGCTGTGACAGAGTACATATCCAAATTTATCAGGATGTAGCAGACCTGTTTAGTTTGCACAGTAAAGTCTTTGGATGTCTCTGAAGGTTCCAGAGGTATTTCTGCGGAAGGGTTGCAGGAGGGGATGTGCTGTGCTCACAGCTGGCTGCTGGTTGGTTGTTTGCAAAGGTGTGCTTCCTTCTTGTGAGGAGTTAAGAGGTTGTGCAGTGGTGACTCCGGCCGCCAGCAGCTGTCCCCAGCCTTGTGGAATATTGATGGGCAGGAGGAGGAGAAAATTTCCCAGGAAGGAACATACTTGACATTTTGTGGCGTTCTTCCCACTGGAGGCTGTTTTTGGGTCACCACAGGTTGATGCTCCCAGTATGTAACATTACACAAGACTGCCCTGACTGGAAAGAAGTCAGTGCCCAGAACATGTAGACACATGCAAGCATCTCTTTGTTTTGAAAGGAATATGACAGGTTTGCAGTGGGCTGGGCGCTGCTTTCCAGCAGCACAGGTAGGACACGCAGCTCAAGCCCAGTGCCATCTGTGTCCATCAGGTCTGGCACTGATCTGAGCAGTCCTTGCATCCTTCTCCTTGACTTTAGAAAGATGTTTCATTTACATTAAGGATGCAAATGAAACCACACCAAGCCCTTCCTCCTTTCCTCATTCAGGAACAGAAGGGGTGTGAGGCATTCTGCATCATCAGTGACACCCTGTCCTTCACTAGATGCAAGTCATCTAGATGCATGTAAGGTTTTGGAGAATGTACAGGTTAAAGTACACGCATTTAGTGGGATGTTTTGCCATGTTTTGTTTGCCCTTCGTTTCCTCGCTTCCTGCATTTATAGAGCAGTACTGCCTGCGTACCGCTAAGACCTGGGTCAAAGGCAGCACTCATCTGTGTAAGTCCACAGAGGATAGGGGGCATAGAGTTCCCAAGATCATGGCACAGGACAGGAACAGGTAAGGAGCTGAACATGACAAAGGAATAAGCGTGTGGACATAGAACTTACTACTGAAGGAAGCTGAAGGTGTACACCATGCAGAAGGCACCTGCACAGACATGGAGGGGTGGAACAACGTGAGAACTGAATTTCCTGCTCTGGTGGTAGCAATTAGCATAGAAAATTGCTTAGGAGTTAACCAGCACAGTGCGTGTTTCGTGTGATGGAACAGTCGTACCGGCAGAACCACTGCCAGCCCTGCAGGCTGTGAAGAGCAGTGAAGGTTTTATCATGGAAACCTGATGCTGTGCAGTGAAGTTGAGTATCTAGAACTATTTGAAACATGTCCAATGTCTGCATGTTCTGGGAAAAAAACTTCTTTGCTTTCCACAAGTAACTGTTTTTAGGTTTTGAGAACAAAAGAGTGAGGCACAGCCTATGAGAGCCACTGGCTGTGCGACTGTAACACTGATCTTGTCTCCTCTCACCCACAGGCATTAGCAGTAGGTGGACTAGGTTCCATAGTAAGAGTTCTTACAGCAAGAAAGACTGTTTAAAGACTATTGATTCAAACCAAGACAACCATCGGTTTTGGACGCAGAAGAAGAAGTAGCTGAAATGACGCTGGTCCTTCTTGATTAGAGATTGCAATCTACTGAAATACTATGGAAACCTCCTCTTGGACTGCTTTTAACATTGAAGTGGGAAAAGAGTAAAGGTATTCCTGTATATTCTGACTATCATACAGGAGCCAAGACATTCTCCTGATTGCTTCTTTTAAGGCAGAGAGAAGGCAAACTCCTGCCTCCTACTACTGAAAGCGAGCAGGTATTTTCAGATGTCGCTTTATCAAAGTGTGGTGATCCAAGATCCTGTCTGTTCTGCTTGTTTAAGAGGAGCTATGGTCTTCACAGATGCAAGGTTCTGACGGTTTATGAATGGGAGAAGGGTTTATTAGCAAGATGATTTTGTATATATGTGTGTGTATATATAGAGAGATACAGTCAGAGGACAGCCGGACCATGGGGTTGGTTTCATTGTAAAGTGCCTGCTGCATCAATAAAGTTCTTGGATCATACAAGTTAAGGCAGTTTTTGGCTTGCTCTTAAATATGACACTCAAAAATCAAGCCTGCAGTAACAGCATTTCTAAGCTAAGTGCCCACCTCTGCATGAGCACTCACTTCCAACTCCTTCCAAACTTTGTCTTCAAACTGAGCTGTGCTGGCTGCTCCAGCAGCCTCGCTCAGTGCCCTGGTTTTGGCTGCACAGAGCCTGGGCCCTGCTTCCAACTGACACAGCTGCAAAGGGAGGCTGTAATCCAGCCAGCCTGGGTTTAGCACCTGCTGAGAGCACAAGTAGCAGCTGCCCCTAGAGATGATTTCAGGAGGCAGAAGCACCCTACCTCATTCCTGGCCTCATTCCCTATGAGAAACAGGCCTTAAACTCACAACTACAATCTTAGCACAGGTCAAAGATAAGTTTTGCTTCAATGCTTTAAAACTGTTTCAAACAGCTGTAGCATCCCAGTGGACACAATCAGGACGACAAAGAAAAAGAAAGAAATCAAGATTAGAGTTTTAATCCAAAACATATTGCACCACAAATTTCATAGTGTTTCATAATACAATCCATATTTACAGCATAGAAGGAAAGAAATTCAACAGCCATAGAAAGGATTGTGTATACCACTGTTTTTATACAAGGGAAAGTGCATTAGCTTTTTTTTTTAATATATATGTACATATATACATACACACACACACCATTCTTGCTCTGATATCTGAAGAAAATTCAACACTTGAGAACTCATTTATGTTAAGTTAGTGAGCTTTGGGTAAGTATGAGCTTTGGGATGCTAAACTGTTTGCATTAGTCAATATATAATTAAAATTTATGCATCACTTTGTCTTGCAGGCTGCCTGCACTGCATTTGTTACTGTACAGCAATAACCGTTCAAGCCAGGCACAACTGAAACCAAATTTGTCACTCACCCTGCAGCAGTGTGACTAGGGAGAATCCTACCCTCTGGCCTCAGGTCACACAGAAGCAGGTCAGGGCAAGGAGATGCTCCAAAGAAAGACCCTTCTGAGGCCCAGGAGGGTTATCCTGCCCCTGCTTTG